ATTCACAGCAAAATTAAGAGGTACAGATATTTCCCATAAACCCCTTACCCCCATAGATGCACAGCCTCCTCCACTATCAACATCCCCCAGCAGAGTGGTACTTCGTTACAGTGGATAATCACCCAAAGTTCATAGTTCATCTTAGGGTTCATTCTTGGTGTATATTCTATGAGTTTGGACAAATGTGTAGTGACATATATCCATCATTACAGTGTCATGCAGATATTCTCACTGCACTACAAATCCTGGTCATTCTAATAGGCGTGTAGGGTATCACTGTTGTTTTCATTTGCATTTCTCTGATTACATATGATGTGAAGCATATCTGGTTTTGAGGCATAACAAACAAAATTTGCTGTCGATTGCTTGGGAGGAGGAGGTGAGCAGGAAGGCAAGGAATTGAGGATGATTGTTGATGCAAGAAACTAGAGCCCCACCCTACCTGGTTTGGCTCAGTGGATAGAGCATCAGCCTACAGACTGAAGAAGGGTCCCAGGTTCCATTCCGGTCAAGGGCATATGCCTGGATTGTGGGCTCAATCCCCAGTAAGGGGGGTGCAGCAGGAGGCAGATCAATGATTCTCTCATCATTGATGTTTCTATCTCTCCCTCTCCCTTCCTCTCTGAAATCAATAAAAATATATTTTTAAAAAAAGAAAAGAAACTAGAGCCCTGAGCTTGGGGGTGGGGGGCCTGGTGGGTGGGCCTGCGTGAGTTCTCTTTTGGACCTAGGAGTTCTGGGCTTCTGGACATCCATGTACAGCGGTCCCCTCACACACTGAAGACCTTTTGCCTTGTATTCAGTGACATGTACTGGGTGTAATTCCTCTCTTTCCCCAAGCCATTTTTTAAAAATATCACTTATTTTGTTTCCACCATCTATATATATAAAAGCCCAGCGATCCTTAAGGCGGAATGATCAGAACGACCAGTCGCTATGACGTGCACTGACCACCAGGGGGCAGACGCTCAATGCAGGAGCTGCCCCCTGTGGTCAGTGTGCTCCCACAGCGGGAGCACCGCTCAGCCAGAAGCCGTGCAGTGGCGGTGGTGGGAGCCTCTCCCGCTTCCGTGGTAGTGCTAAGGAACCGTGAGCCAGGCGGTTAGGAGCGAGGAGTCCCAGATTGCAAGAGGGTGCTGGCCAGGCTGAGGCCTCCCCTTCACACGAATTTCATGCATTGGGCCCCTAGTTTCATTATAAAAAATTTTAAGCATACAGAAAACTGGAAGAATTTTCCAGGGGAATATGATATAATGGGAGAAAAGAGACCAACCTCCTATGCAAAAAATTCCAAATAATTGATGCTGTCAAGGAGGTGGAGTCCACCCCCATCCTGGAGTGTACGATGCACATAGCGACACCTTCCTCAGCCAGGGCCATGGTGCTGTGCACCTCACTCTGATACGATGACAATGGCATTTGATCTGGGTGGTCCTCTTCCCAAAATGCAGTCTCATCCTAATCATGAGAAAAACACCCGACAAATCCCAGCCACGGGGGGTGCTGCAATCTGCCTGACGGGTAGAGCTCAAATACATCAAAAGCAAGGCAAGTCTGAGAGGCTCACAGCCAGGGGAGCCCATGGGGACGTGATGAGTAAATGTCGTGTGGGGTCCTGGAACAGAGAAGGACATTAGGGAAAACGAAGGAAGTCTGAATAAAGTATAGACTTTATGGGTCCATTGATTATGACAGATGTACCAAACTAAGTTAAGGCGTCAGTCATAAGAGAAACAGGCCTGCTTTATGGAAACTCTGCACTATCTTTTCAATTTTTCTGCAAATCTAAAACTCTTCTAAAAAATAAAAACCCCACCACATCCTACCACCTACATTCTACCTGTCACATTTTATAATCTTTACCACACATCTCTCTCTGTCTCTTTTTAAAAAAAACATCTCTTGACTATCCACTCCTTTTGCTCAAAACGACACCCAGGAAGCCCTGGCACACAACACACACACTGGGCTCTATGAATGCCCTGGCCCCAGGCTCAGTGGCTGCTAGAAACAAGGAGCTCTACTGCCACCCAGTGGACGTTTTAAAGTAAAGCGTCGCATGCTGGACAAGCTGGAGGAAGGCCCTCGGCTGGCCGGGCTGGGAGTAGTCTCTGAGCTTAGGCTGCACATGAACCGGCCCCTTCTCCAGATCCCCCATCCCAATTCTTACCTAGATCTGGACTTTTCTTTCCTAACTCTGCCCCAATTCCAAACTGTGCAGTAATTTTGTATTTGCTAACCTTCTCCATCTAAGTCTACTACACTTTTCAAGAAAGTCTTTTTTGGAAGGAGATAAATCATGAGGGAGTTGGGCATTTTCCAGTTTTGATGGCCGTGAAGAGTAATTTCTGTGCAGAGGTGTGGCCTGCCCAGCTGCTTTTGAGAGTCTGAAGGCTTCAGCTGGCTGGGTATTGGGGACTGGGGGACGGCGGCCTGGGCCTGGCCTCAGGCAGCAGAAGCTGTGGTCGCAAGAGGCCTTGCTGTGCTGGGCCACACGGTACCTGTTGTGTCAGGCTTTGATGCGCATGTGCTTCCTGAGGGGGTGGGGGGCAGCAGTGCTTTGCATCCCATGGCCTCCTCCATGCGGCTGACCACAGGCATGGCTGCTCATGCCTCTGGGTTAGAAGAAACCAAATGAGCACGTCTAGTTTGGGTTTCCCCAGAAGTAGAGCCTGGGACAAAGGTTTGAACGCTAGTTATTTATTTGGGACTTGATCCCAGGAAGTCCTGGTACAGTGTGAGATATGAGCCAGGGGAAGGAAAGAGTCAGATAAAAGATATGCCATTAAACCATTCATGTGGTGTCCTTGGAGCTGTCTGCTGGCGAGCACCCCCAGCCGGGGTCCAGGACACGGGGGTCGGGGCTGCTTCTGGCGACACCAGCTGCGCGTCTGGTGCTCTGGGCTGCAATAAATAGCTTTCAGAGGCAGAAGAGGGTGCCAAGGGGGTGGGGCGGGGCACTGCTAGGTCCTCTTAGTGTGCTCATATGATGGGGCTCAGCACCCAACCCCACTCATCCCCAGTGGATGCCAGTCCCGGGCGGGATGGACAGCCCAATGGCTGGGGAGAGCGCAGGACCACGCAGTCAGCTGAGCACAAGAAGATGCTATATGGGTTGAGTGGGGCCCTCATTGCCTCCACACAAGTGAGATTTTCAAAGGTGGGGAGATGCACAGACCTTTGGTGTGTGGAGGAGAGTGTGCCAGGCAGCCATGAGGTGTATGTGTGTGTGTCAGGGGGAGCCAGCTGGGGAGCAGCCTTGTCTGGAATCTTCCCCTGGGCTGGGCTGTGGCACTGTCCACCGCTCCAGCTGAATCTCTACCGAATGGAAGACCCAGCTACTGAAAACTAGAGCAGGATCTTGTTATTTCCATGGCACACCAAGTATTTAGGTGATAAAAATGTATTACCAAGAATGGGAGTTCTGATGAGCAAAAGCTCATTTTATAGAGAATGTTGAAAATATAAAGCTTCCCCCCAAATCTCCACTGTCTTCCCGAAGTTCTACTGGATGAAAGAATTTCACAAACTGCAGAGGGTACTCTCCTGCACAGACACCTGGTGGTCCCCAGGAAGACCTAGGTCCCCGACGGGCCAGACACCTGCCCTCGCCCGAGGACCACACAGGGACCAAACATGAGCAAGGTCATTGTCATGTCAGCTGTGGAGAGACTCGCCTGTGCAGCCATCACCACCATCTCTGGTCAGCATGAACTCTGGGAGCAGAAGTCCTTGCAAGAAGGTTGGAAGGCTTTGCCCCTATAAATTATGCCTCGGTGCTGGAATGTGGGCTGACCAAAGCGAAGTGTCGGCAGGCGGAAGCGGATGGTCCTTTCTTGGTGGAGCTGGTGAGGTGTGTTCAGTCTGCTCCTGAGAGAGGTCTTCTCCCAGGGCTGGTTTTGGGAGCCAACCAAGATCACTTTCAGATTATAGTGTGTGTGTGTGTGTGTGTGTGTGTGTGTGTGTGGGGGGGGTCTTACCTTGCCCTTCCACCTTCTGGAAACCAGATGGTCAGAGAGGGGCTATCAGGCTCTGGAAGACATGGCAGAAGACGCTCTATAAATCCAGGAGGAGCTGAAGGGGCAGCGTGTCCCAGGCCACTGTCCTCTGAGGAACTTCTGGTGAAGTCTCAGGTGGGGTTACTCACCACCTTGGAGGGGCGCTAGCCCCAGAACACAGAAGCTGTGTGGCACTGCAGCCTCAGAGCTGTCAGTCACCGTCTTGTTGGATCCTCATAGACAAGGAAGGCAGAATAGCTACACGTTACAGAGCGGCCCAAGCTCAGTTTCTGTGTGTTTGACAGAGGGAGGGGACACCTGACTGGCCACTGGTAGGAAGCAGAACCTGTGCTAAGGCATGAAGCCACCTCAGAGAAAGGGCAGAGTCACAAGTTCTGACCTCAGGGACTCTGACATCTTTGGAGAACTACCTAGAAGAGATAACAAGAAAGATGTCATCCAGGCAACTTGTGTTCTTGGCAAGAGCATATCCCTTGCCATCACCGGACAACGGGGTTCCACTCATGACAAGGGTGGAAATAACTGAGGGCAGGTTGTGGCTCCATTACAGGCAGCCTGAGGTCACAGCTTTGCCCAGGTGCCATTGAACACCGTGCTTCTGTATTCTCTCACCTTCATTGTAGCTTCACTCTAGCTACTTGTAAACACTCCTGCCCAGGGCTTTAGTTTTACCTTAGAGTATTCAGAATAAAGGGTCACAGAAATGAAGAGAAAGGATCCCCCAAAGCCATGGTGTCAAAGCGATGCTAGTAAAAGGCCTAATGATATTTAACTGTGGAAGGGTGAGGCAGCTGTGAGCCCTATACTATAAGTGAAAATCATGTTTGACACCAAAAATAAAATCCTGGGGAAAAAAAGACAGAGGAGTGTGTATGTTGTTTCTGGTTCCAGTTTGTGGCAAAGCTGTCCTCATGTCTCCTGATGGGGCTGTTCATAGCGACACGAATGCAACAATCTGTATGACATCGTCAACATGCACAATGCTGTTTCTCCAAAATTTTATTTTAATTTAAATTACAGGGCCAGCCATAGTCTGATAAGAAATTACTTTTCTTCAGGAGAAAGGAAATGCTCTCACGGCATTGTTAACAGGTGTCTCCATCTCCACCTCTTTCTAAGGGTTAAAAATCACATGGAATAACTGACTTATATAAAATTAAACCTTTATGACACAAAGAGAAACACCTCCAGTTTAATAGTTTTGGTAACATGAATATATTAAAGGATCATAACTTTAAATGCAACTTTTCAACTTTGAATGTTTTCACATTTTTGTTTAAAATCAAACAAACAAAAAAACAACAACCCCAAAATCTTAACTATGTCCAGATTCCAATGCGATGTACCACACGGTGTTTTGACACGCTGCCCTCACTGTCCTCCACGCTCTAGTGCTATGATGACGTCACGGAGTGGAAGCTGTTTGTCGTTTCCAGTTCTAAGAACCAGCTTGGCAGGAAACCTTCCTTCCACCCGGTGTAATTACTGTTCTCCCCTGAAACCTGACACCCAGCACTGGACACAGAACCAGGAGGCTTCACGGCCAGGTCTGCCTTCCCGAACGTCTTGATATTTTCAACTCAAGAAGCTTAGATCACTTCCCCTACTTCCAATGGAAAAATATGAATGATTTTACACAGATTTTGGTAAAGACAGCCTCAGGAAAACCAATGCCGACTGCCATTTAATTAAATAGAATAAAATACATCTATATTTTCTGGAGCTATTTTCTTAACTGGTGTTCCTAGAAGGAGGTCTTGCAACCTGCTGAAGCATCACTTGGGAGTTTCTTTTTACTGGCCGATAAATAATTCAATTAGTAGGAGAGGCTAGCAAAGAATAATCATGTAAATTTCTTAGTCAGCCACAGCCATGCTAAATTCAAACTGGCAAACTCTGATTGTAAGTTGTGATCTTTGTATCACTAAGATGAACAGATACCATTCTAATAACTTTACATAGATATATCCTAGGAGATGTTGCTCTGCCGTGGTCACAGTAACAAAAAAGTGGTGCAAAATCAGTTACTTTATAAATACTGATAATTTGCAGCATTAAGGAATAGAACATTAAAAAAAAATAAATTTCCCCATAGGACACCTGTGACTAGGAACTCTTCTTTTCCTAAGAGAAGCCGAAGTTTAATGATTCAGTTCCACAACTACTGTACTGGATGACTTACTCTAAAGAAGAAAAGGTGCTCTACTGAGGTTTCCCACACAGAGAATCAGCGTTAATTTCGCATAATCAGTATCATTCATAGATTGAGGAAACTCATTTTAAATGAATAAGGCCAGTACTATGCAGGAAAGAGGGCTGACTGAGTTCCAAGTCTGTATTGTACCCTATTGATGGCACCCCACTAGATAACTGAATACAAAGGATTGGTTTACTTTTGTCTTTTAATGCTGTGATACTTAAATGTTAAATCAGCATTTTCATGTGATCTGAAGTATTTCAATTACATATGAGCATTCATTTTTTTTGCAAAGACTCAATATTAGGTAATAGTTACATACTAATACAATAACATTCCTCTGCTGTACAAATTAAATCATTTAAAAGAAATGAGCATTCTAAGAATTATATACAAAAGAAACCTGTAAGCATTGTTGAAATGAAATGCGAGGTGTCGTTGCTAGCTCTACTGTTTGAAAAGACCTTCCAAAAGGGAAATTAACAAATACCTTCCAACATATCCAGGTTTACAAGTCTCAAGAAAATCAAATGTCAAAAAATTCTAGAAAGCCGTGAAAAGCGTATATACATTTTCCTTATGACCTTATGAAGCGTCACACTTTTAAGAAGTTGCTAAGTTTCAGTATCAATTTATTCGCACGTCAACTTTAACCACCCAAAAGCTCACATCGTGGGTACAGTTCCCCTGATTCCAAATACAGCGCTGCACGATCTTCCTGTAGTGAAGGCAGACAATCTCACCAAGAATCCACGCCCAGCTCTTTAACATAAGTGCAAACCTGCAGGTTTAATCTGACCCAATCATGCCTTCCGCCCCTCCGTCACACTATCACCCCTACATTTGCCCTCACGAACCTAGCCGTGTTCAGAACTCCTACAGCAAACAGGGTCTCTGAATTCTGAAATGACACAAAGATCAAGAGAAAGTCCACGTGTGCTCTAGTGTGCAAGAAAGCAGCAGCTACGTTCTCCAAGATGGACTAAAAAAACAAAACAAGATAAAATGAAAAACCGTTCACTTAACAGCAGACTAGCATAATGTTCCTCATGAATCGGTGAGAGTGCCTGGTGCTGACGAGCTAACAGCAGGTGCTGGGTTTGGATTTAATATTTCGGATGTTTATGGGGAGTTAGGCTTCTTGCTGAGCTGGTCTCTTCAAGTCCCTGATCTGTTTAACTAAATAGGTCTTCTCGTCATTAAACTGCTCGTCCTCGGTCCTGTCGTTCTGAAACTTGCTGAGGAACTCTATGAGTTTGGTCTGGTTCTTGAGGAGGATGTCTAGGATGGGCTGTGTCTTGTTAGGGTTGGCAACAAACACCTGCCGGAGAGAAATCTGCATCAGCTACAGGAAAGAACGAGGCAGGACACATCCAGAACTTCCCTCCCTGGGCACGTGAAGTCGGGATAATTCAGTCAGAGGTTTGTGCTTCAGGATATCTTATTTCACAATTTGAAAATTAAAAAAAGATGTACATGCTTTAGTACAAAGAGGACTGGTACTTTCCCTCATGCTTTGAAACTCAGTAGTTGGTATTAAAATATAGATGCTGATTTTAGGATAACATTTGCAGAAATTATTTCTGGGCACAAAAGGTCAAAATGAATTTTGAGAATAAAAACCTCCACAGAAAGCATTAAGATACGGGTTACCCCTTAACTTTGTGATTAATAATTTTCTAAGACAAATGGCACTCCTCTGTAAATAAACTTATTCTGTTCCCAAATTGAAATGTTTACCCTGTTTCTGGGTCCATTTTTCTGTTTAAATGTTGTACCACACAAAACATGAAAATTAACTGAATTGTATCACTTAGATTACCAAAGTGGGGCTAATACTATTTCAGAAATTTGTAAACGAAATGAGACTGACGACTTCAGGAGAAAATACTGTTTGTGGTTTTAGTACTCTACCTTAAAAACGTGAAAGGCCTCAAACTGGATGTTACGACTTTTGTCTCGTAGAAGATTCATCATTAATTTGAGGTTCTCAGGTTTACTGATGTATTTTGTCATAATTGTGAAGTTGTGTCGGTCTAATAATAGTTCACCGAGAAGCTGAGAAGACATTTAAAGAATCACTCTACATTATCATTAAGAGTCTAAGGAAAATCAAAGTCTGAAAAATAATTCATTTAATAATCATCATTATTAAGTACTGAGTATCACTAGGCCCCCCCAAAGACCGATGAAGTGAATCGAACTATGACCTAGAACAGTGATGGCGAACCTATGACACGCGTGTCAGAGGTGACACGCGAACTCATTTTTTTGGTTGATTTTTCTTTGTTAAATGGCATTTAAATATATAAAATAAATATAAAAAATATAAGTCTTTGTTTTACTATGGTTGCAAATATCAAAAAATTTCTATATGTGACATGGCACCAGCGTTAAGTTAGGGTTTTTCAAAATGCTGACATGCCGAGCTCAAAAGGTTCGCCATCACTGACCTAGAAGCTATGGAGTGCCTACTGTCCGTTACACAAACACCCACCTTTCCCTTGGGCATTTAAACCTATGGTGAGTCTGACACTGCTCTCTGAAGAGAATATTCAGGCACATTTGGCCCCAAATTTAAGACTGTCAGAGCCTGCCTGCTCTTTAAATAGCATTTATGTTATCTCACTAAAAAGAAACTATCAAAGAAAGTGTTTAGAAGTTCTTGATAATTCCTGTTAACTAACCACAAACCTTAGCTTAACTAAAAATTAATTTTTTTATTTTTAAATTTTATTTATCTGGATTTCATAGGACAAAGGATCATGTCCGAAGTTTTCTATACACTAACTTCTACACATGCCAAAGTTATCATATCTGATTCAGAAAGGCTGATAAAAATGAAAACTTTTCTATTCCTTCTTCAGCCAAGTATCCTGAAGATACTCCATTTCTTCCGTAGTGACTCCTCATCACTAATAACATCAGTTAAGCAGAAAAGAAACCTGTGCCTTCAGGGCTTACTGAATTCACAGAGGTTGGTTATACCTTATCAGTCCTTAATTTTTCAATTGTTGTTGCTTATTCTAGATTTTCTTTGGCAGCCACCTCTTCACGCCATCAGTGCCCACATCTAGTGCAGATCGAGTGTGTGGAGATGTGGCCTGCAGTGGGAGAGGGCCAAGCTGTGGCCCTTGTGGACAGAGGCAGAAGCAGAGTCGGGGAGGGGCTAGTCCTGGTACCATCGGCCTGGGTTCGAGTCCTGCTTCCCTGCTCCTTATGAGCTATGTAACCTCGAGCACGCTGTTAACTTCCAATGGAATTGTTCATATCCTATTTTGATACGGACCAGCCAAACCCGTCTGTGGTCCAGTCTCACTGCTTACTCCGCCCCCTTCCCTCACACAGCAAGTCCCTGTCATTAGGGTTGCATCCTGGGGAGATAACACCTGCAGTGTCTTCATCTAACCGACATGATTCTAAGTTTTGAAAATATGCTTCAAAATCTAAAACACTGCATCGCTAAGAGATAAAGTCCTCTTCAAAATTCTGTGTGTTGCATTTGGGATCTCTAACTTACAGAGAGGTGGGCAGGAGCCCTGTGTGGACCTCTGCTGAACCCCACCCCTTTCCACAAAAATTCTGATCATGGACAAACATATTTTCATCTAAAGGTCTAAGACCCACATACTAGCATAACCTCCTTTCCCCAAATCCAAAATTCAAACACAGGGTGAAGAGATGTGAACTACATAAAATAAATGTCATACCTTGAGTGACTGTCTTTTTGTCACATAATTTTCTGAATGAAGTAACTTCTCATACTCACTGAAGAACTAAGACAAAAAACACATATCAGAGTTATTTATTTGTTTTTTGAAGACGGGGAGATAATGTCAGAAAGTTTGAGTGGAAGCTCTAACACCTCGAAGGTCAATCACTGCCCAAGCTCGCCTCTGCCATCCTGTTCCACACCCTTCCTCCGAGGTGCTCAGAAACCCTCAGGGTGATACCTGCTGATGACCTCTGCAAAGAGGGCTCCTGGGACTGATCCCCTCCCAGCTCTAGACAGGCCCATATACTAGTAGAGCTTAAATCTGATCCTCTTCTGTCACCCAAACTCCATATTCACGAAACAACTCCCTTCCCCCGACCGTTTCCTCACTGCTGAGTCAGCTATCATTTCTTGGTGTTATATTAGAAAATTCATATTCGTTACAGAGGAGAACTCAACTAGTCCAAAGCATAAACACAAAGAGAAAAGTTACCTGTTCTTTCAACGCATCAAGTAAGGAGAGAAAATAATTAAGAACAGAAGAGAGAGGAAACTCATACTGTGTTATATTGGAAGAGGTCGTCCTACAGAATGTAGGCTCAGGCTCAAACTTGAATAATGGGAGGGATTTCACTTAGAAATGGGGGGAGGAAAGGATTCTTAAGGGATAAAAAGGGAAGGACACAGCATGAGTAGAGACCTGGAAAATGCAAAATGCTACAGATTTAGGAACTGACACGTGTCCACTAGATCATGTACAAATCTCAGGGGACTCTATTACCAGGAAGTCTGACATCCATTGACTCAAGCTGGAAGGGACCTCACCGCTGGGCTAGTCCAATGTCCTCATTTTAGAAATAAGGACAGGCTTCTGAGTCCTCCAGTGGTAATGGCCTTGGTGGTGACAAGCTGTCAGCTGCAGAGCAGGGGCAGAACCGGGTTCTGCCTCTAGGCAAGAGCTCGTCTCACCTATCAGGTGCTGCTTCCCTTTCTCTCTATTTGTTAGCAGCACAAATGGAAAGGAGAGTTAGGAAGTCAAATAATATTTTTCTTTTATCTCAACTGTGTATTATTACTCAGCACCAAAGTGCTTCACTTTTCTCTTCTAAATCAAGAAAAGATCCAAATGGCAGCGTGTCAATCAAACAGATAAAGTCTGCTTCTAATCAGGTAATGCGCTATACTCCTTTCAGTAGAGAAATGGTTATGGCACCACCTTAAAACTTTACATTTGCAAAATAAACAGTCTGGTACAAAATCTAATTTAACCTTTCAATTCTGATAATAAAACTTAAAATTTGCTATTATGAAATAGTATTTCATATACTTACTCTATCATAATGTTGTTCCAAAAATTCTGCACTGAGCAACTTATGTCTTGTAAGCAAATCCTAGAAAAAGGAAATATATTGTTAAAATGTTGTTCTCGCATTCAGGTTCTTTTAGAAAAGAGAATCCTAAAACATTCCACGCCATTTTACCTAATAAAAACTGTTGTTAAAATTACTATACTTAAATTGAGCATGAACTGTATTGAGGATATTGATTTTGTATGAGTAAATAAAATCAATAAACTGAAATTGTGATTTTAATGCTTATGATTAGTCACACATTTATAGCTCTTAGCAGGAAAAATTTAAAAACAAACATATAAGGCAATGGGAATATATGTTCAAAGAAAGAGAATAAAGAATTGAAGTGAAATAAAAAGTAAACATCTGTAATAAAATGTCAAATTGAAACTGCTCCTGGTGGAGAAAAAGGACATTTCTTTAATTAGAAGTATTGGAGGTTCCATTTCCTTCCTCCTAAATTCAATTGCATTCAGTTTCATATCTAATGCAACCTTTTGCAGAGGTAAAATGTTTTTGAAAAGCCCTGTCATTTTATAAACATCAGCTCCTAAGTAAGCAGAATAACACCGCAGGAATGTAGGAACAAAAATCAGTAAGACCTCGAGTCTAACTCTGCATTACTATAAAACAGAGCTTAGGTCTCACCCCACGGATTTCCCTGGAAACAAGTCAAGGATCATTCATTTAGAAAATATCTACAATGTGCCAGGTAACGTTCTAAGTGCTAGGGTTACAAAGAAGAAAGATGTAGTCCCTGCCTCCAAGGACCTGGAAGTTAGCAATGATTAGCCTTGGTCTTACCAGGTTGGGTGGGGAAGGGGGAAGGGAACATGTGACAGCAGGAATGGCCAGACAATATTTGGTCAATCAATGAATTACATTCCTCTAGAGCCCCCTACTGGAGAGGTTGGTGCCAATAATCTCCTTCTCACAACCAACTTTCCTTAACTTGTTTTCTTTGCTATTTATGTTTGAGTTACCAAGGTTACATTGAACTAGAGTTTCCTAAGTACACCCAAGTGCTATGGAAATGGGAAAGCTCTGAGAAATGTTCCACGGTCAAGCTGACATGGAAAGCACTACAGCTCTGGTTGTTCATGGGGCTCCATCTGGCAGCAGGAGATTCTGCAGGGAACTCTGTCACCTGCTTTGTTAGCACCCTTCCCTGAAAAGGCCTCCATGGCACAGGCTTGCCCCTCTCTAGGTACCTACTACCTTCGGAGCTCCACTTGTCACTTCCACAGGGAGCCCTTCCAGACTGGCCACCAGCATGCAAGCATGGTCACAGGTATGACTGTTCATCTGTGAGATGACCTGATGAATGTTTCGTGCCAGATTGCACATTCTGTAAACACAAGGCTCAAGTCTGTTTTAAATCTTTGAATCCCCAGCACCTATGCAGTGCCCAGCACATAGTAAGAGCTTAATATTTAATAAATGAATGAACCAACATCAGCACATAGTAAGAGCTTAATATTTAATAAATGAATGAACCAACATCAGGGAATATGTTTGGGAAAATGTCACACTAACCAAGATTCAAAGTGTGCTTGTTAAGAAGGCTTCTAATTCCACCCCAAAGATTTACAGGTGTTTAAACTGCTGGATAGGTTGTATACTGTATGTTCAGGAAAGACCTACCCAATTTATTCTAAATCCCCCTTAGGGAATAAACAGGCAAAACAGAAACCCTGGAGTTTATTTGAGTACCTCAAGAGTCTGGTAAGAAATGCTATGAGGTACCCAGATAGGGAAGGAGAGATGGCAGGGGTAGGAGAAATGATATTATCTCAGTAAATCATGGGGCCAGATATAAGGGAGAGAGGAACATGAGAACGTTAAGGGCATGTACCAGGAATGCTTGTTAAGATCACTTCCTTTTAACATGCTACTGTGGTCTGTTTATGGTGGTCTCCTCTGTGTAAGAGCCTCAAGAGTTAGGGGGTGTGTATGGCTCATTGCTGAACCCCACACCTATAGAACAACACCCAACACAGGGCAGGAGCTGAGAGGCTTGTGGAACGAACTGAACAAACATATGAATTAGCAAATTAAGGGATTAATGAGTCAGGATCTGTGCGGGACTGGATGTCATTCTGGAGGCCAGTATGAGGAAGTACAGCAAAAGAAGCCCAATGCTTACTGCTCGGTCATAATCCGACCATGAAGACCAGAGGTGGGGGTCTGAGAGACAGTGGCTCTCACTTGGGGCTGGGTTCTTAGGAACAGGCAGGTAGAAAGTATTGCTCTAAAAAGCAAAGGCCTTGATTTGACTGCAGGTCTGAGTAAGGGGACTATTTGCTCTGAGGTTGTATCTCAAGTAGGAGCATGAGGCTCACAGTTGGGCCACACATGAAAAGGGGGATTGTCCCCATTTCCCCATCTAGGGGAGTCTCCTTGTTATCATCTGGTTTAAAGAGAACATGGAACTCAGGAAACCATTGCCAATTTAGGAATCAAATCTCAATGACCTTGGTAAGAGAGAGAGAGAAAAGGGGTGCATTGAGACTACTGAAGTAGGAGCTGGGCCCAGGGCCCCACAGGATGAAAGACCTTGTTAAGAAGGACCATGACAGGGCAGGGCCTGGAGGGGACAGTAAAACATTAGTGGGAAAGGAGCAGTTGCTGAGAGCCAAGTTGGGAAATGAGGAGATGGGACTTAGGCAGTGCCTCTGTCTACTGAGAGACGAAGAGGAACCTTACCTTAGGACTAGAGCCAAGAGCTATGGATAGCTCAAACCAGGGTGTGGGGAAAGAAACCAACAGAATAGAAGATGAAGAGAAATGGTTATGAGGTCAGTAACTGCTCAGTAATCTGCAAAGTTTATAGGTGCATGTGGTCCCAGACATGCAGAGTTGCTAGTTGGCCAGCA